CGGGAGCAGAAGGTGTGGATGCAGCAAGTTCGGCAGGTTGATGGTTGAATTGATTTGTGCCGTACAGGCCGTTGGTGGGAGCAGACTCGGTAGCCATTGTGGGAGGTCAGAAGGTCAGACTAGTAGTGAAGATGCGCAGCTGATGATGTCGCTGCGCACGCAGAATCTGATGCCGATATGCGATACTGGGGAGGTTTGTGTGTCGAGCAAGGTCGAGACTTCGGACACGTGCTGTGCGCAGGAAATAGATGGATATCACAGATCGGTAATCTGTCACGCAGGCACGGTCGGGTTCTTCTTTTTCTCCTGCGGCACCAAAGAGTCAGTGGCTGTGATCAATACTATACCACGCAGGATGAACATACAGAGACAGCGGTTCGAAGGATTAGGGATTGCGAAGCTTCGTCGATGCGAATATGGGGGATGAATCAAGGAAGGGATCTGTGGTTCGGCTTCATGCGATGAAAATAATTTGAAAGGTCTGTGACTTGTTGGAGCGACACCGGCATACTCTCCCGGTCATTGGTACAACTCGCGGGCGCCTTGGCGCGATCCTCCCGCCTTCAACTGCAGCGACGGGCAATATTACCTAGGTAAATAGAATATGTCTAATCATGGCCGGGCTTAAGTCCGTACCGTAGGTTCATGGTCGTCGAAAGAAACTGTGAACTGGGACCGGTATCTTGAATCATGACTGACCTTCACTTGCGGGAGATATAATACATGAAGATCCAATTGCACAGGCGCAATCTCTCAACGAACATCGCCATTCATTAGCGGGTTTTGGTTGTCAAGTATGGACTCTTGAGAGCATACCCATGTACCCCAAAACCCTGGTTGCTGATCGTCCAAAGTGACGGTCTATCCACGACATATAACTTCCAGAGACGGTTTTCTTGTGAACAATACGTGTTCAGAACATCGAACAGAGCCTTTCCCCGCACTATCTTCTGGCCTATATCTTCTCACGGACCACGTCCTCCCTATGGGGTACTCACAATGATCACCTAGGTATGCTTCTGACACATAAAGCATTCTGAGGACAAGAAGGCGGCAAGGCTTTGACAACAAAGAGACCCTGCCCGGAAGACCACGGTCGTTGTCAATGCCTAAAGCCCAGCAATGAGCGTATATCACCGCCTGCCGACGTACGCTTTCACTGCCAGTGGGCGTTCCAATGCCTAAGGGCTGTCACAAATGCTCGAGAACGTCTAGACTGAGTTTTCGCATGTGGGTGTGAATAAGTGGAGGAACACTCGAGTTTGCCTGAATGTTGAAAAACCGTGATGTTTGTAGACCTGAGAATTGAGGAGAGCGTCGCCTTGGCCTGAAAGACTTCGTGAACGTCCAGACATGGAGGACTATGCTGGCAGAGGTTGAATGTATTCTCGGGATCCATCAGGCTAGACTGCCAAAGATACTGGTTACGGTTGGGCCAACGACGAGTACGTCTCGTCTGCTCCGGGTTGAGGCCCTCAGGGACCGAGCCGATGTTCGTCACCTCTTTGTTCCACAGCTATATGTAATCGGCTTGTAGAGTTTCAGTAGAATGCCGGCCTCGAGGGAGTAATAGGTTTTGGTGCCAAGGGTGTTACATCGTTTCCTTGCGCCTTGTCGAGAGACTCGTTGACTGGATTGGCATCTTGTTCTTCCCTTGCTAGACGTTCTTGATCTTCACGCCTCTTTCTCGCATTGGCCTGCCATACTCTATCCTCCTCTTGCAATTCTCTCAACGCCTCCTCCCATTCCTGCTCTTGAATCTCGTCTCCAGTTCCAAGAACTTTTTCCACGTCGACCTCCTCACCTCGCTGAAGCTTCTCGACAACCTGTCTTAATGCCTCGATCTTGAGGTCTGCTCTTCGCATGAATGTCGTGAACTCAGTTTGGATGCCCATAATCCGAATAGCCTGAGAACCGATCAAGAGATATATCCACAGAAAGTAGGTCGCAGGATTGGTTGGCTTCTTCTTTCCTTCTGCAGATGCAGATCGGCCTCGGAGGAAACGTGGAACGATAGAATGCCAGATCGAAGGCTGTGCGATGCGAGGAAGGCGGCTTCCTTCTGAGGCCGCATGTTGATATCGTCGCAGCACATAAGACCGCGAAACCTGCGGACGGCAGAGTCTAGTGGTTGCGCCTCGCGCAAGACTCCTGAGTGGCCAGCATGGTACCGCCAATGTCATGCTGCGCAAAAGGGGTTACTACAAGGCGATGAACCTGGCAATCTGAACTGAAACTACTGCAGGCATGGTTTTCTTTGTCGACGAGAAGAGACTGACAAGTTCTGAGCTGCAATACGAGGCTGCGGCGAGTCATGCTGCCAAGCCGGGATTTGGCTCTTCCTCTGAGTCCTTGATCAGTCGAACTCGACTTCACTCAATAACCTCCTACATACCTTTTACTAATGGTCCTTCCCCAGCACCTCCCTCATCACAACAACCTTGACCCTGTTATAATGTCAGCGCTATGGTATCTCTTGACTTTGAATGATTGTTACATCTCTATGATCGATGGATGTAGTTGAAACGTCGTGGCGGGATGTCGTTTCAAGTCTCGTCTCGTCAAACGCTAGATCGGAAAGCCTCGCATCTACAGATATGATCTGAATATTAAGGACCTCAAGCACGGGATATACCTGTTGAGAAAGGTAAGTACTTGCGCGCAAGATGCTTTACGGAATATCAGGTATATAATAGACATCATGGTGGTCTCCTACCAGCGTCCATTGCGCCTCCTCTTCAACAATCATTCCCCTTGAAGTCGTTCTTTACCACACGCCTGTTGACCAGGGTTCCATTCGTTTGCCTGGTGCAGCTACTCTTTCGGACTTGTCTTGTATAGTGATTCTTTGCTAAACCTGAATATCATGATCCCCCCACTTTCGGCTGTCCTCCTTGGAACGGCAACATTCGTCGCTGCTCATCCTATGATCGAGAAGCGTAATGTCACGGCTCTCAATCAGGCAGCGTTTGAGGAAGCCCAACAGCGGGACAATACCGCCACAAGGGCATTTTCGTCCGTTCCGATCAAGGCATGGTTGTCGAGCTCGCTATCGGAGAAAAGTACTAATTGGTGGTATTCAGACAGCTGGAGGACAATGTCTCTTTGTCGATGAGCTGTCCGGAGACTTCCGTGCCAATCTGACTCCCATCCAAGTTGGTGATTGTGATGGTAGTGAAGGCCAATCGTGGGATATCATTACAGCTGGCGTCCACGACAATCAGCCAGGAACTATGCTGCTAGTTAGCACGTTGGTATGTCATCCATGAACAATCTACCGGACCACGTCTGATGATGGGTCCCTGCAGACTCAAGCCTGTTTCAACTTCGATCCTCGTCGTGCCGCTAGCAACCAGGTCCTTCTATTCTCTTGCGGTGGGCGTGCAGATGGCGGTGAGTTTCGTATACCCTACTATAACGGGGCTTCGAAGCTGACTCCAATACTCTCAGGCGGCACAGTGACGAATTCCCAGCTCTTCCCTTTCAGTGGAAGTGCCGGACCCCAGGCCCTGACCCCGGAGAATGCAGCTGGAACCTGTTTGGTTGTAGCAGGAAATGTCATCGACCAGGCCGCCTGTAACGCCGCAGATCCTAACCAGTCTTTCACCTTTGGAGACAGTGAGACCGACGGTTCAACCACCGTCTCTGCAAATAGCACTGCCGCGGGGAGTGTGGCTTCTTCGATCTCAGACGTACCCACATCGACATCCTCAAACATCATTCCAACCTCTGTTGCAGCGGTGGCACAAACGACAGCAGCCCCAATCACATCTCCGCCCGCCAGCCTTGCGGCCACCACCACCGCATCTGCATCTGTCATCTCCGTTTCTCGCGCCGGTGTCGTCCTCAACCCGTCCGCAGCCGCAGAAGCCAGCCCACGTGATGACACAGCAACTCGCGCGTTTTCCTCCGTCGCCATCAAATCATCTTCGGGGCTATGTCTGTTCATTGACCCCACGGCTGGCGACTTCCGCGAGAACCTCATCCCAATCGTTCTCGAGCCTTGCGACGGCTCAGCGAATCAGCAATGGGACTTCGTTACATCTGGAGTCCACAATAATCAGCCCAATTCCACGCTGATAGTAAGCAGTCTGACCCAGGGCTGTCTGAACTTCGATCCACGAAGAGCTGCCGGCGACACAGTCATTATGTTTAGCTGCGGCGGAAGAGCTGATGGAGGTGGCCTTGTCACTAATAGTCAGCTGTTCACTTTTGCAACGGGCGAGACGAGTCTGCAGCTTCAGCCTGAGAACGGTGACAGTACTGTATGTCTCGTTTCGGATGCGTCGGGCAGGTTGGACCAAGCCGCTTGCAGCGATGACCCTAGTCAGGTGTTTACTATCGGCTGAGGGAACAAGCTATAAGCGGGATGGACATGGTGCAAGTTGTGATGCCATTCTATTTCGCTCCTCGAGCGTCGCTGCAAATAAAGCCTTGATCTTGTCTCTACTGGTGCAATAGGATATCCTAGAGCGCACTCACGACCCGTCTACTGTGTAGCCTGACAGCTTAGATAATTCAGGTGTGTTCGTGCTGCATTCCTCTTCAGGTAGCTGGCGTGGATAGGCCTGGAAACTGCCCCCTTAGCGTACCCCTGATAGAGTCACAGCCTTGCGGCTCAACGAGCGTCATTTCCGCCTCTCTCCCTTCCCAAGTACCTAGATCGATCACTCCCACAGCACGTGAACGTCGAAGAGCTAGTAGTAGTCTGCTGGTCATGGGTGGTGTGACCATTCCGGAGTACGACTGGTATAGCATGCCTGAGCAGTTAGTAATGCTCTTGTGCTTCGACCTCTGGGTCAGGCCGAGCCCCTCTTTCCCGGCGCTGGACCACCCAGCGAGGCGCCTTGCGTGCCCCGTTCATGCCCAGAATGAGAGGCTCTTCGGCGTAGTTCTGAGCACGAAAAAATCTGGTTCATATGCTTTTGGACCCCAAATTCCGTTATCGAATCAGCCTCAGGGTTTTCCCTGAATCCTTGACTCCTAAGCTTCTTCTCATCGCATCAGTGGTGTAGCGGTAACATTGTTGCCTTCCATTTGATAAGCAATAGCTCTGGGTTCGACTCCCGGCTGATGCAGTGTTTTTGCTCTAGGTCGCTCGTTTTTTGATCAAGTGCCTGAGGTTAGAATGATCACACGCGCATTTGGTGACTTCGACGAGGCTCACTGCACAATATGACGGCCTTGGGACATCAAGCGAGTTAAAATCTTCCCGACCACCTCTGGTTGATGCAAAACAACCTTTTGCTTGCAAGGAGAATACCAATTTGAGCGTCACGTGAGAGGCATATATGTGGAGACTTTCCGGATTCGACTGTTGGAGAAACCTAAAACTAGGCCTACTTGAACGTTATTGGCTACTAGTACTACAGCCTGCCTCCAGCAGAAAACACTTCTATGGCGGATTAAGAGCTTCCATTGCTTCGCATTCTAGTATCACTCATTCTGCGCTTTTCGAAGCTTTGTACCTAGTGTGCCGCTGTCCACCCGTAGGTAGTGGACGATACATAAAAGAATGGGCTCGACTACACAGAAGCACTGAGAACGATTTCCACAGATATCATAAATCTGCGAATCCATCTAGTGCTACAGGCCACTTCATGTTGAGACTCGAGTACACCATTGTGTTTCTGATACAAAATGCTCGATAATGATATCTCCCCTGTACCTGAGGAAGGCAACTCTCACACTTTCCCTCTTCCACTACCACTCCTCTCCACCACTGCTCTAAACCACCCAGACTGCTGCCTTGGCCTTTCCACGATTCTGATACACCGGATCGTCGATATCCTCCGTCCAGAGGCACACTCCCCACCATCAACCACCCTCTCGGTCCTCTCTATCGGATCCGGAACAGGCCTTCTCGAAGCCATCCTGACAACCCAGGCGCCCAAGGGAGCACTTGAGGTCCATGGCGTAGAAGTCTTCTCTTCAGTCTCAGCAAACAAATACCTACCCACTCATCTCCGACACACCGTGCCCTCGACATCAGCAATGTACGAAGATGCAACAGATTTCCCAGTGTGTATCTTCGTTTACCCACGCGATCCACGCCTAGTCAGGAAATACCTTGACCTCGCCGTCACGAATAAACAGGCTCGACAAGTCACTATTCTCTTCCTGGGACCCAAGGCTGATTTCCTCCCTCCTACGAGCTGTGAAGGGGGAGATGGAGACGAAGAAGCCCAACAAGACACATTTGCAAGTGTCCTCGGCTCGGTCTCAGATCATATTGAGCGGTGTCACGACTTCATTGCGCAGGATGAAAGTACGAGTTTCAAGCACAGTTCTGATAATGGTTCCACTCTCGGCAAGCCGTTCAGAGCAGCGATTTTCTCGTCTACTGATGCGGGACTTCCGTCTTATGAAGTCTTATGTGTTCTTCGACGATGTGAGCCGGTGATACTCGCCTGAGTCAGGATCTAGACAGGTACGCTCACTTCTGCGACCCTCTTGTCTCCTAGAGACGCTCTTCCCGACTTAGATCTATCCTCATGATGACCTATCCATCAGCTTTATGGTCTAAGAGGTTCCTAGCACGCTTCGCTAAGATCCAAGCCAACTCATTTCCCGATACTATTGGCTGGCTTGATCATATCGGCGCCGTCTCCCTCTTCAACCACTTCGTCGTTCGCTCGTCGCTCTTAAAATAGCCGCTCGTCTTCTCCCACACTTCTTGATGATAATCATTCAACCATTGCCGTTCTTCCGGCGCCAGCAACGCCGGATCTATCAGCTTCCGACACATCGGCACCACCGTCACATGCTCGAAACAAATCCATGGCTTGTCGCCAAATTTGTGATTTGTCTTGGCTTCTCTCGCCATGATCATGTTTTCGATCCGAATGCCGAAGTTGCCATCCTCATAGTATCCTGGTTCGTCTGACAGGACGTTGCCAATACTTAATGAAACCTCTGAGTATGCTGTGCGGGTGCCAATACCAATAGGGCCTTCATGGACGTTGAGGAATGACCCCACGCCATGACCGGTACCGTGTCTGTAATCAAGACCTTCGCGCCACAGGTGCTGCCGAGCCATAGCATCGAGACCAAAACCAGTAGTGCCTTTGGGGAAAACAGCTCTGTCCAGCGAGATGCAACCTTTCAGGACCAAAGTGTATGCCTTGACCTCCATCTCGGTCGGTTCACCGAAATGTAGTGTCCGCGTCGTGTCGGTGGTGCCGTCAAGATATTGAGCTCCTGAGTCGCAGAGATAGATTGCCTTGGGGTCGATGACGGAGCAGTTGCCTGGTTCAGGCTTGTAGTGAATCACTGCAGCATTTGCGCCTGTCGAAGAGATGGTGTCAAAAGAAAGGCCCATGAAGTGTTCGCCCTTGGATCGGATCTGCTCAAGCTTGTCGGCGGCCTGAACCTCGTCTAGCCAACATCCGCCCTGCAACTCGTGCTCCAACCAGGCGAAATACTCGATCAATGCCGCACCGTCCCTGATATGACATTGTCGCATACCTTCGAGCTCAGCAGCGTTCTTGATAGCTTTCGCATCGGAGACCGGGCTCCTGGCCTCTTCGACTTTGTCCTCCCCTCCGAGTCCCAGGCTCAAAGCCCATGAGGACTTGTTCGAAAGCAGCAGCTTCGCTGAGTGAGGCGATTTGGTGGTGCCATTCTGTTGAACTTCGTTCGCAGCCGTCTCGGCTACCCTCGCTAGGTCGGAAAATAGAGCGTCGTAGGGCTTGATCTCGACCAGCTCGCCCAGGTAATCTTTCACCTCGGATCCTACCTTGCTCGGGTCGACGTACAGTGTGGTTGAATTCGCCGTGACAGCTGCATAGGAGAAGAAAACAGGGTTGTAAGGGATATCGTTGCCGCGCAAATTAAAAAGCCATGCAATCTCGTCAAGCATTGATATCACCATTCCGGCAGCCTTCTTTTTCTTGATGTCCTTCCGTAGTTCATCCAATTTGTCCTTGTATGACTTCCCAGCGTATTTCTCGTCGAGTACAATGACTTTCTCGGCAGGCCGTGAGGGTCTATCTTTCCAAATCTTGTCCACGAGATTTTCTGAGACACCAACAAGAGTCGCCTGCGATTTCTTCTTGAGTGTTTCGCCTAACTTCCGTGCATCTGAAGCCGTGATGACAGTAGGGTCGACCCCGACGGTCTTGCCGCCTTCTGCTTGTTCTGTAGTCCATTCCTGCCACGTCGGTACATCCTCCATGCCCTGCTTCAATAGCAGCCAATTGCTGTCCAGTTGTTTCGAGGCTTGGTTGAAATATCGGCCATCGGTCGCCAGGGCAGCTTTATCGAGTGTGATTACCGCAGTACCAGCTGATCCTGTAAACCCACTGATATGTTCTCTTCTTGCATCGCATGGTGCTATATATTCTGACTGGTGACTATCCTCCGAAGGGACAATGTAGACATCGACTTTATGTTGGCGCATTAGGTCGCGCAATTGCGCCAGTCGCTTCGTGGTATCTACTGTCTCCATGTCGACACTTCGTCGCGAGCTTGTGAAAGAGAAGGAGCGGACAGACAAAGAAGGCGACGGGATTGGGACGCGGGTCGAGGACCGACGAAACAAGGTAGGCAACCGCAGAAATGACCAGCTCATCCCAAGTGAAGTCTATGTGAGGGATGGATGTGAAGACGGTGATATCAACACAAAGGCATGTGCCAGGATCCCTTGATTGGCGGGCAGATCTCTATCACCCGGGGGTCTGCACACGACCTCGCGTGTTACAGTACACCCTGTGAAACGCCCCCTGCCGCTTTGAACTTACCTAACTTAGGGAGGCGGGCCCGGCTTCTGTTAGGGGGTCCTCAGTGACTCGGTTAAAAGCGGCCAAGAGGACTTTTTTGTAATGAGCAAACCTTCGCGACCTCACTCGGTGGTTCATTCATGACTCTGGCGTCCATACGATTCTTCTGATCGGGCGACACTAGCAGAAATGTTCTGATCATCAAAGTGGAACTCCATCTTCCAATACACCGGCTTGGGTGCCTCGGGTTTGCCAAAGAACTCCTGGTAGAGGGACCAACAAAAAGCATTTCAGCAAGGCTGTCTCCTGTCCTGCTGTTGTCATCCATCGAATCTGGAGTGTACGGCCTTGACGTCCTTCCAGCCCGTACTCTAAAGACCAATCCAACGCAATGCCTTCGCAACATTCCTGCTCTTTTTCGTCACTATGGAACAGCTGATCCGAGAATTGCACGATCCTGGCAATCAGGCGGCTCCAGATCGTGTTCACACAATCCAGAGACAAATCCAACTGCTACAGCGTGAGAAGGTGGCATGGCAGATTGGGCTCGACCTCCTGCGGCACGATGAGGCCATCATCCGGTTCTACGGTGCTCTCACTTTGACAATCAAGATCAATGCAGACTGGTGAGGCTCAAAATCTTAGGCCTTGCAATCACCACTAATAGTAAAGTAGGGATAACGATCAGATAGGCGAGGATGAGCGAATGAAGTACTTTCTACTGGAAACCCTTGTCACCCGGTATCTACAACTTATCATCTTGCCCGATGAGAACTTCGTCATTCAGAAGCTCTGTTCAACGCTGGTGACCCTCTTTACGAAGCTCGATTCAGAATGGGTTTTCCCGTTACGACATGTGCTCGCTTGCCTGATAAGCGGGAACTACGTTTCGCCGGCCAGTCTGCCAGACATGCAGCAACTATGCGAAGCTGGCACAGACTGTTCAGATGTCCAGCTGAAGGGCATCTTGATGCTTGCCAGAACCATGGCAGAAGATCTTGGTGGTCGTTCTTCCACAAGTACTGTTCAAGGCAAAGTCACAGATCGCACCGCTGCCAACGGTCCGGACGCCTGGCAGTTCTTTCGATTCGTCTTAAATGCACCGGCCACGATTGGCTATCATGGAGTTCCAGCTAAGGCATCCACTGAGTTATTACAGATGGTCTTTGGAAGCATACCGTTCTGGGCATCCTTGATCAAACACCTCATTGCTGACGCGGACAGAGCCCAGATTCTCAGCACCGAAGCACTTACTCAAGATTGCATCAGAGTTGGCGTGGAATACTTTGATCATGATCGGCTGACAGCAAGTGTCCTTCAAATGCTTCATTCCCTGCAACAGTCCTCAGCCAGGCTTC